CTGCTTTTTAGTATTCATCAGAAAGGCTGTGTGAGGGCAGCAGCAGTAAATGGCCTCATGGAAGAGTTGGTACGGTGGCAAGTTGACCCTGAAAGCCATCAAAGAGAGTGTCTGTATAACTCCGCCTGGCGGTGTAGAGAGGACAACTTACGAAACCCATGACGAACATTCCAAAGAATCCCTCCATGCCGACCACGTGCAGGGCGTGAAAACCGTGTTTCTTCAGAAATACTTCCTCCACAATCATCTGCGCGGCCGTTGCAAGGCTACCCAAGAGGACAAGAAGCAGTCCTGAAAAAAAGAAAGAAAACGAGGACAGTTTAATGTTGGCAATCAGGAAAGGACACCGCCAGTCCGTCCGATTGCTGACCTTCGCCCAGAGGCGGATCATTCAGCGCGCTGGCTTTACGCCAGTGACAACAGCCATCCTAGACAGTAACTGTGGGTTTTGTACACAATAAACTCTCCTCCGGGTGGCTTCCAGTGCAACTCCTTGGGGATTCCAAAGGGCGTAATTCGACGCGGACACAGCTATAAGTCACAATTACAACATTGGAGACGCAGATGAGATTGTTCCTCGGAAATTACAACAATGGGTGACGCATATTTCCACCATGTGTATTTCCGTTACAATAATTGACGGACAGAACTGTTTGTTACTCCGATGATCACATCGGCAAAAAGGCAATCAATGATGTTTCTCAGTTTGTTACCGTTTCAACAGGATTCCGATGGTTATATCGTGCAAAAGGACTATGAATCTTTTTCTATTTGCCTCCGTACGCGCCCACGGGAAACAAAAGGAGAGCCACCAACGTTCTGGCACCCTCTACTGTACACTAAAAAATGTGTCAGAAGCAACCGAACGTATCGCTACAGAGCTCGGCATGAGTATTGCTCATCGTCCGACAGTTACCACACGTTCACGAGTCATGCATATAAAAGACCCACTGGAGGTATGTGAGCAGTCTGGTGTTGTTTGTCAGGTGCCATGTCGCGAATGTTCTTGCCACTATACAGAGCAGACCGGGCAACGAATTAGCTCGCGAATAACGGAGCACAAACGGGCAGTGCGGAGAGGTGACCCACTGTCTCAGATCGCTATCCAGGCTCTGGAAGAAGGCCATGAATTCAATTTTTCGGGCGCACGGATAATGGCACGCGCCGCTAATGAGACGGGGAGGGACAACTGGAGGCCTGGAAATCAGACCCCAACTCCATAAACAGGCCGGTGGACATACCACCCC